TTTTAATGTTCTAACTATTATTTTACTAAACCTACCAGCAATATGTATTTAATATGCAAGGAAAATTTGAATTTTCTCTACTTAATGGACCAATGTCATAAGAATTAAAGAAATTAGAGAGGTATAAAAATACTTTCTACTGATTATCTATATCTATGTCACACCATATCCTGCAGCTTGTTTTTATAGGAAACAATGTATTGTAAATGAGGGAGACAATTGTTATTCTTCTTATAACCTGTTACACTCAGGCTGTCAATAGCAGGTTTGATCTGCAAAGAGGTAATATTTTCATCTTCATTTGAAGGCTGGCATCTGACCTTCAGATGTATAATAGTTTGAAATGGTTTGGCATCACCAGATGTAACTACTAATCCTAATTAGGTGGACAAAGTCACTTCAAAGATCTCCATAGAAACATTCAGAGAAAATCAAGTATGCTCCATGGAATGGCATTGCTTTGTCGACCCCTGAATGCAACTTGCTCCCAGAGGAAAGCAATTTAATGCTTCGCTGCTCATAGAACAGTATATATGAATCACAAAAACCTTAGATAAATTACAGACAGCTACTTTTGAGCAGGGTTGCACCTAAGCTTCTTATCTACAGCCAAGCAAGCTTGCTTCACCTCAGTATAGATATTAAGCCACATGGCAGGGTGCCTTAGCATGCTGTCGCCAAGCAACAGTCACCAAATTTAACTTGGCAGTGAAAGGTGGGTGGGAGTGCGGGGGACAACCAGCATGCGTGTCTCCAATGTGCTCTGATAAAACTGTATGCTTTGTGTTTCCAGATATTTAAGGCTATGAGGTCTTGTTCCACAATGCAGAGAAACACATGAAAACCCAAAGTTATAAGAAGTGGATGAAGAATGAATAAAGAAGACTGTTTTTAAGACTACCATACAATATTCTAATTTTCTTTCTTCATAAGCTAACATCTTGCAAGCCTTTCCTAGTTGATGCTCTCTTTTCTGTTTATGAGATCCCTGAAGAACGTAGTGATACTCAGTCCTTGACTCATGCTCCCCCTTACCTCTGGCATTTAAATCAAAAATACTTTCTGTAAGAAAAAAAAAACACCCTGAAGAATATATTTTTTATTTGGATTGTGTGAAAAGAATATTTTATATATTAACTACAACAGGCTAACTGATGAAGTAAGACTTTAAAATTATGAGTAATATACTGTTTCATTACATAAATTAATTACAAATCAGCACTCACTATGTGAATGGAAAAACTCTGTGAGTGTTCTTTAGAAGAAAAACATTGGCATAGAAGGTTAGGGAATATTAATAAGGTGGGTGCTGTGTTGGGTTAGAAGCACACAGACTGCTGCCTCATGACCCATGTTTCCCGACATGAAAATATACTGTCACAGCACATGCACGATGAATTATTCCTTTATTAAATAACTCCTATGAATCATTGGGATATTTTAGTAAAAGAAACATAACAGTTTTAAAATAAATATCCATTCTTCTATCCATTTTCTAACCAATTTTTCCAATACGGAGTCACGTGGTGCAAGGAGCTAGAGGTCTGCACGGGCATGAAATTGAAGCCCGAACCTGACCCGTGCCCAAGACCTTGAGACACGACCTGACTGAGCCTGAATGGTGCTGCCAAATATGAAACCCGAACCCGACTCAAACTCAAAATCAGTCACTCTCTTTCCCTCTCACAGCGAGTGGACACACACGCACAAACGGAGACGGATTCTCACAGACGCGGCTTTGCTTGGCTGCAATGCGCTTCAGCTGATAAACAGAAAATGCCCTTTGTTGAGAAAAACTGGTATTTTTTAAATCTGTAATACTTTTGAAAGGAGGGAACCATAATAGCGTGCAAAATGAATTTCTCCTAATAAAATTATATTTTAAACATAAAATAATAATAATTCACTATCACTTATTAGAAAACAAACCCAAACCCAGCCTGAGCCCGAAGTTGTATGTGAAAAGCTGACCTGAACCCGGAACGAAACCCAATACTTTGTCGGGCTCGGGTCGGGTACCAGACCTCTAGCATGAGCATCACCATTAATAAATATGATGAACGTTATTGGAAAACAATCTTTTTCTCCATAAAAAATCATTTCTGCCACATCTGTTAACTTTTGGGATATGATTTCTTTTTTAAATCTGCAGGTTGGACTGCAGACTTCAGACTTAAACTGGAACTTCATCTGTGATGTCATGCTAGGGTAACATGATAGAACCAGTTAATCGTCTTAATATTACATGCGCAATTGCATGTCTTCATGTTTCTGAGGATTATGTATTTAATAGTTACTAAAAACATTGACTGAAAAACATATAGCAACATTTTTTTTATTTTATCCAATCCATCATTTATCCAGCAAGGGAATGCATTGTGTTAGTAATTTAATGTAACTTTGTTTGAATTCAAACTGGATTTCTTATGTAAAGCAACATGGTAACAGCACGTGCATTGTCTACAGCATGTGTATTCTTCTTTCAATGCTGTAAGAATTCAATTATAAGCTGAAAGTGGTCCTAACCAGAATTCACTTTTACTTCAATCTGCCTACAGCTATATATTAATAGCCATAAATGCAACACCCTAGTTACCTTACTGTGTACTATACAAGATCAATGAGCCATTCAGAAGCACAGATGAACCATTTGGAGTCAGCCTGGGTACAAGAGTTACACAGACACCTCAGTATTATAAAATGACTTACATATACAGTATACTATGCCCCAACAAGAAACTTTCCCAGTTCATGAACAGGAAAAAATGTCATGTGAGAAAATGGACAGTTCATCACATGGACGCAGCTTTCAGACATCAATATTATTACTATTCCATGACACTGAAATCATATTTGTCTCCAAAATATGTTTTCTTGCATAAAGAAAATTAAGCTTTGGGCCTTGTAGAGGAACTTGGAACAGTAACTGAATAAAATTTAGTGCGGATTAGTTTAGGAATACATGTGAAACTGTAAAATACAAACTGTTTAAAACAAATTCACCACATTCAATATTGAAAACATAAACTGATGAAAGCACATTCGGTTTTTTTTAAATTACCATATATTTGCATATATTTAAAAAAAGGTTACTGCATTTTCTGTGCTCCCATGGTATTGCTTCAGCTTAAGCTGGCAATTGCCTCGTTAAATATTCCAGTAAAATCAATAATGTCGGTAAATGTAGATGGCTCATACAGAAGCACTATATCAAGATGTACAGCTCATTGGTGAGAGTTCAGTGAAACAATGAATTTTACAAACATACAATTCCCCTGCTCCTTTCCGTGTTAAATAAAGGAAAACGAAATATAATGGAATATTCCAAACTTATTTTTCACAAGGCGTGTGACACCAGAGCAAATAATTTTAGCAGAAACCAAGAGAAATTATTGTTCAGAAATTATATAAAATAAGGACATAAAATAACATGCATTATTCACACATTTCAACAACCATAAAAAACATCACAAGTCAAAGAATCTTAACAATACAATGTTTGTATTGCACAGTGATTTCTAGATTGATTTGACTGCTTAACACCTATATAACTTTGGCATTCATGTTTTTGATGGAATTTGGAATGTGGTGTCTGTGCAAATGACAGGACCTAGAACTGCCTTCTACATTGATGTTCCTCTGCTGTTAAGATGTAAGACAGCTCAAGCAGTGATCTGAAATCCCTTGACTGCCCGCATGCTGAAAACAATAGTCACATGTTGTCATGAATGTGCATATTAGCAGGAAACACTGAGAACAAAGGGGACCAGAGCAGTGAGGACCTGTTAATAATCTTGTGACAGCTCTGATCTCTTGTCAAAAAAGGGCAATGTGCAATTCTGATGCAACATTTTAAACACTGACATTAAATGTCTGGAAACAGCAAAGCATGCTGTCACTAAGGAAATGTATACAAGGTTAATGGAACTGAATTGTAAAAAAAACTGTGCAGTTCACTTAGTAATTAGTGATCAATAACTAATTAGCTGTTTAATAGTGAAATTAAGATTGTAAATAAAGTTTTATAATGCCATTGCAGCAAATTAATAGCCTTAGTCAATGAATCTAAGATAATTTACCATAAAATATGATCCAGAAGTATCCTGTTAAACCAATGGAATATGGAAAACATTATGTGCTATTCATTAAATCATAGAGCCAAGCTGGCAGAATCCCAGATAAGGAACAGAAGACTAGGTGCGGTCAATACATTATCCAAGCATTGCTCAGGTTGTTTTGGGATTTTTCAATATCTTTCCACATGTAAACAAAGTGGAATTCTTAACAAAAAGAATGCCAGCAGCCATATCACCCTTTAACTCACAACTGGCAACCCACTGAAGCTAAGCAGGTGTGAGCCTGGTCAGTACCTGGTCAGTACCTGGATGGGAGACCTCCTGGGAAAACCTAAGGTTGCTGCTGGAAGAGGTGTTAGTGGGGACAGCAGGGGGCGCTCACCCTGCAGTCCATGTGGGTCCCAATATAAGTGAAAGCGCTTTGAGTGGAGTGTCCAGAAAAAGCGCTATTTAAGTGTAAGCAATTATTATTATTATTATTATTATTATTATTATTATTATTATTATTATTATTATTATTATTATAAAAATAAAAAGTAGGCAAAGGTTTCATAGAAATGTCATTCTGTCAATTGTTCTTATAATTCTAACATATAAAGCATATGAATGTGATAGAAAATGATGAACCTAGCATTGATAAAAAAACGAATATTTTAACCAAAAGAGTACCTGATATACAAAAATATGAAGCCATATGATAAGGAACACTGTTTTCTTGGGGATGGGTGATGATTAAACAGAATACTGTGGTATTTTTTAAACAGGGAGTGTGGGAATGCTTGGGATTTAGAAAGAATATGCTGCTGTTACAAGCCAGTGTGTCCTTCTTATCTGTTATTTTGGAAAGTCATGCAGTTTAGCTCTAAGACAGAAGCTTCTTATTTCTTCAAGAACACCCAAACATATCAGTACTTTGATACTGACCTCAAGATGGTCCTCAAGCACCCTGGATCCCTCAGCCCTGGTATCCTGGGGACTAAAGACAATGCTATGTTAATGGCAACATGCATGCATCACTATTTCAGCTCTCCTAGACAATGGAACAACTATTTCAATCCTATGCCCAGAAGTTGTGCCCATTTTCAGAAGAATCAGAGTGTGTGGTGTACTTGGTCAACCTGCTATTCAGGGTCCTGGATAATCTAAGAAGGATAATGGGCCTCATAAAGGGCCTCATAAGAAAGGTGGATCTCAAAATTTGTCTAAGGAATTTCTATCTCCTAATGCAAAAGTCCCACTTTCTAGGAAACATTATCATGCCAAAAAGGGTTTTTACCAACCTCTAATATGTCACCACAGTAAATATCTCAACACACCAGCTGGTTCATGAAATGAGGAGTTTTATTGGAAAGACCTCATATTACTGTTGCTTTATCTCGGAATTTGTAGATGTTGTTGTTCCTTTGCCCATCTCATGTGTAAACTATTGCATTATGTGATGGGAACTAATAGCTGTGGTGAAAGCTATTTTTCACCCCCTTTCCATATGCTACCAAATGCTAGATTCTTAGCTTCCAGAGCCTGAAGTTCAGACGGCCTGTTAAGTGGAGATTCTGCAGGGTCTAGAGCACTATGCAGTAAAGTAACAGAAGAATGTAGACACCTTCTCCCACCAGCCAGCTTCTGCAACAATATGGACAGGAGTCATAACAGCCCTGTCCTTGTCTTGCACAATAGGTGTCTGTTAGGGCTCAAGAGGAGCAGGTAAAGATTGAGGGGATTGTGTTTACGGTTTATGTCCCTTGAGGAATGTGGGAGCAACAGGCAGCAGATCCTGAGGTGGGGTGGTGACCCAATCCAGAGGAACTGTCCTGCCAGTGGGGCAAGTGGATGCTGTGAGATGGGCTCTTGTACAGGAGTTAGGAGGACCCTGAGGGCCCTGGTTTCCATCACTTTTTCCAATGATGAAGGCCTTCTGGCACATCCAAGACTGAGACTACAGCTCACAGAGGAAGAAGGGATACTGTCTGAATCTCTCACCATGCTGGCTCGCCATCTAAAGGGAGGACCCCCACACTCTGCTTGGTCGTCTTTCGGATGTGGTGTAACAGCTAATGTGTCAAGTTTTATGGCTGAATTGGGGAAACTGCACCAGGACTGGTTGGACTCATGGAGTCAGTGATGGGCCGGATGAGTAGGCCAGGTCCAAGTATAGGACTTACACTATGTACTAAAACTAAGTCATGTCTGCAGCCCTGGGAGGATGTCTGGCCTTTTGTGGGGACAATGTTACACTTAGCCTCCTTGGAGAGCTATTACAGGTGAGGAGGGAATAGTGATTATACAGACTCTGCCCCAAGGGGCTGAAAAAAGACCAACAGACTTGTTAAATTCATGAATGTTGTCATTTTGTTGTTGTTTCTCTTCTGTAGTTCAACTCTTCATTTCGCTTCCATTATCAGGTGTTTGGAACCCCACCATGAGTGAAACCATGAGCTCTCTCTATATGGATGTTCAGTGGTATATGGCTGGGTGTTTAAAGTTTAGTAAAACATAGGCAATTTCTTTACACTGTCATCATCCCACATAGTATTTTTCAATTGTGCAAAAAGTCTAACTCACAGTATACTTTATATCTATAATTTTGTAATTGGGTTTAGTATGATGCCTTATGAAATGGACTGTTCATACTATCCTGGTGGTGGACTGTTCGTACTAACATTGTCAATACATACAAGATCAAGTGCATTAATATAGTTGTTTTTTCGTTGTTTTGGATAGTTTATTTTAAGAAATTCTCATTGGCTGTTTGAAATGAGGATTTTTTTTAAAAAAGGATCAATGTTTATTTCAACAATCTTAGATCTAGGCCTGGTTCAAATATGAGTTTCATTTATGTTATTGTTATTCTTTAATTTCTTTCTTTAATTCTTTAATTATAGAAAAATAATTTCTATATTTTCTTTACTATGCAATGTTGTATTATTTTGAGTTGAATAGCAGTAGTCGAAAGTGCTAACAGCTAAGTCTAAAATGCAGTTCAACAAACTATTTCCATAGATATTGAATTAAATGTACACAGAATTTCTAAACTTCCACATATTCTGGTTTCTTTTAAAGTGTTAATATATTTTCTTATCCCTTAGGGTCCTATGTCTTGAAAGATTGAATTGGCATTTGTCCCAGAGAAGGCCAACTCATTTAACAGACATCTAAGATGTTCCTGGGGGACTGTCCTTTCCTAACTTCAACTTAATTTATTTAGGAGTTGTGTCACTTGAAGATATTGACAGAAAACTAAATGCACACCCCTAACAATGGGCGACATATGATGCAATACATTGTGGCAAGGGTAACATATATCAAAGGTTTTTGTTGCTTGCTTCACTGTCAGTAACAATGCTAAATAGCCACCTTAAATTTTGCAGGCTATTTGTCAAACTTGTGAACTGGGGTTTTAAATTTGCATTGACTGCTTTTGGATACTTAAGTGTCAAAATGATTTATCTGTTATCATTCTACATCAAAATGCTACTCATAATATATAGTAACTTGCAGTTTTATAATGAATTCAATCGGAGGTCCAGAACAAGATAAAGTGTGGAAAGGATCCAATTGTACAGCTCACTAATGTTACAGGTTAAAAAAATATATAATGAGAAATTAAGACCTCAAACATTTTTTTTTCTTGGTAAACATGCGACCTTTAATATTAATAATAAGACATAAGATATAATTAGTATTATAATAATAAGACAATACAGAATGCTATTGTGCATTTTTACACATAATTTTAATTAATTCATTTAATGTTATTTGCAAATTTGCAAGGATCAGTGGAAAGATTTAAAAAATCATAACTCACATTTTTAATCTTTCCTTTGGACATGACCTAATTTCATAACTGTATTTTTTTCAAATTAAACATATCTTGTTTGTTTCTAATTTTGATTTATTAGATGGATTAATCTACCTATAATTTAACACTTTTTTAATTGACTGAGAATGTATTAGACAAGGGGTCAGAAAACTATGGCACCTATGAACTTTTCTGAGTGGCCCTGCAGCTCACTACTGTTTGAATCTTGAGTGTTACTTTTTGCATCGGATATTGAAAATTGTCCGCCAGTGGCCTCTACTTGTTAGCTCTGCTGCTCTCTCTCAGCACTAATGGTCAATTGCAGAACAACACCTATTGCACGATGCATTTTACTTTTAGCCTATCAGACATCAGCTTTATCCTAGGTTACATACGCCTGTGGTTCTTACCATAAGTTCATTTGAGTTTTTGTTGCCTACTGTGATTGGCTCAGTCATGCAAATGATGTCTAGTGTATGGTATCTTGTTTGAAAGCAGGTAATGATTTCAAATGGTTCTAAAAGTTATAACTGACAAGAGGCTAACTAAGGTATTCCTGCCATGTTGGGGAAAAAAAAGAAAGATCGACGCAGAGGGTAGAAAATTCAAAGACAAATGGTCAGAACAGTACTTTTGTGTCCCTTGGAAAGAAAGGGTAATGTGTCTTATCTGTCAGGAAACAATTGTCGTGATTAAAGAATACAACATAAAAAGGCATCACGAGACAAAACATCAGGCTAAGTTTTTGGAATACACAGGAGATGGACGAAGGGAAAAATTGCTTCAGGGGCAGCAAAAACTGATCAAGAGAAAATTCAAAGAAAATATTGTGGCTACCTGAACAAGTTATCAAGTATCACAGCTTGTAGCAGCAGCTGGCAAACCCTTCACGGATGGTGAGTTTATTAAGCAGTGTATGCAAGAGGCCGCGAAAGAGATGTGCCTGGAGAAACACGATCTATTCCAGTCGGTGAGTTTATCGGCTAAATAGAGGATTTTACTCAGATGGCCCAGCAAGGTTAGTAAAACATTTTTAGTGGCCGTTGCTCTAAAAAGTTTGCCAACCCCTGTATTAGACTAAAACTTAAACCAAACTACTTATCATAAATTCCTAAAACAGAATGAATAAATTCACAAATTTAAAACACATTTGTTTTTGGAGAGTTTTCCAAAGCCTAAGCTCATCATAAACCACATATCTGATCCTCAGTCTACTACTTATGTTTTGGTGGTTATAAATGTTTAATTTCACCATTTTATTAAAAATGACATACAGTAGTTTTCCTTTCTTTGTATTTTTTCTCCTTGCGTGATTACTTTATCCTTTTCTACCATGCAATTTCTGTACAACTGGAGTTTGTTTCAATGTATGAAAGGCCAATCGCTGATAGATTCAGTATTGAGAGAATCAAAAACTATAATTTGGATTTAATAATTTACTTCCTCATACATTTTGCTGAATTAATGTGCTATTTAAAGCATTTTTAATTATAATCAATTATAATTAATCAAAATAAGTCCTTTGTGACCTCCCCATATTGCAATTAACTTTAAAAGAATTCCAACAAGTAATTTCTTTCAGAAACCATACTAAAATAAACAATGTGAATCCCAAATCAGCACCATACTGTATGTAAGGGGTGAAGGTTTAAATTAGAGTCCTTAAAATGTAACTGTACACGAAGGGAATTTTCTTTAAATTGTTGTGGAGTTTACACACTTTTCATTAACATTACATAGACTGAGAATAACAGACATACTATCAGTAACATCTATATATGGTACCACACGCTTACAAAATTTTTGAAAATATAGTTATCACAAGGTTAACTGTTTTGAGTGGAAAAAAAGCACACATCCACTGTTAAAATTTCAGGATGTGTTCCATTTATTGTATTCTAGGTGTATGTGTATTAAAACAGTACTTTATTAAAAAAAACAATAGCATTTATACATACAATTATTCAGTGTGCTATTTGTAGACAATTATGCATGCCCTTAATTTTTTGTGCAAGATATATACTGACTTTTTAGAGCAGTATGATTGTAATTAGACATTGGGTGAGAAAACTCATGTTTATATATGAATTAATATTTTATGGAGCCGTGGCAAAATAAAAAAACAGATCACAAGACCTTATGATTTGTATTTTGTGGGAATTGCTGTGGCTTGCTTT